ACGTGCAGTCAGGTGAGGCATGGGAGGCCCAGCCTCACCCCTGTCATCATGAAAAGAAAGAAAAATGTAAAAGGAAAAAGGCGAGAGCTGAGGTCAGGCTGAGCTAGTTGCTGCCTCACCGTGGATGATTCTGCTTAACTGTTTTAAAAAGCCTCTAAAAAAGCGCCCTCTACAGGAGTAGGCAGGAGAATGATGTGCCTCACATACGTAAGGAATTTTTAGGCTTTTAACCCTTGCTTAACTCTGCTTGAGTGATCATAAAATGTCTAAAAAGTCAGGCTAGATGAGGCACACAGTTCTTCTGCCTCATAGTAGAGGGTGCTTTTTTAGAGGCTTTTTTAAACAGTTAAGCAGAGTCATCCACGGTGAGGCAGCAACTAGCTCAGCCTGACCTCAGCTCTCGCCTTTTTCCTTTTACATTTTTTTTCTTTTTATGATGGGATTGGTGAGGTTGTGCCTCCCCTGCCTCACCTGACTGCACGTCACTGATAAACCAATTCAGTGTTGTCAACAGTGGTAATGACCAGCTATATAGTTCTCTGTTGCACTTTTATTTTATGTATACAATATCTATGTCCAATGTATAGAGCTACTGACATACTTTCTCTCATCTAGCACTCATCACTGCTCTCCACACTTATTTTGTGGGTGGGTGGGTGAGGAACTAAATACTGACACTTCTAGTACTTTGAGAAGTACAATAGTTTATGGACATTGCTCTCTTTGATAAGTGGTGATCTGAAGCACCCCTTCACTCATTCCTACATATATACATCTACAATTGACATACCAAAAATACGAAGGACAAACAACAGCTGGTCACTAAACTTTTTCACCTCTTTTTCCATCAGTACATTGGTAAAATGCTGGACTATTTTTTATTTTTTTTATCTTTGCTTTTAAGTTTCCTGCAGAAGTGATGAATTGGGGAAACCCGTTCTTTCATTTTTAAAAACTTAATTGTAATTCACAAGAGTTCTGCTAGTTTCTCTTTCTAGTTCAAATGACAGAGGGAAGGGTGTTTTCTTCCCACCATTTGCCCAGAAAAAGTGCATCAGATAGATTTTGTTATTCATCAAATTTCATCTTATTTTTAGCTTACCAAATTATAAGCAAGAGTCAACTGAGTGTTTTATGTGAAATTCCAAAGATCTATCAATGAAAATCACATGCCCTCAAAGACTTACCTCCTCAAGAAAATAAAGCAATTAATGCTTGTTTTTAGTAACCAGAACACCTGGCCAACATCATTATCAAAGCTGAAAAATGGATTGAAAACTGGAAAGCAATTTCTTAAGCCCACTTCATTTCTAGCCAGGTTCAACGTAGGGTCCAACTGGGAAAAAAAAGTTGTTCTTTAAAGATATACATTTGAATCAGTGTGTTATATGAGAATCTTTATGGTAGTATCTGCACAGTCAAATCTAGAAAACTACCATAGTCCTGTTCCTTGAGACCCACATATCTTTTTTAAAAGAGTGCTGTGAACCTATGCATGATATAATATAATGCATGGAATAATGCAGCCCACATGCTTTATAAATAATGATTGGTAAAAGGAACAAACAAGAGGTTCCTTCTTGATTTGCCTACCAGATTATCTGGCATGGACTCTGTTATTGTTTCCTTTTCATTTTGAAATGAATATAAAATAAGATGTCCGTACAGTGATGGATAAAATATGGCCTACAAGCAACAGTGTCTACCTTTTTGGCCACCGATAGAAAAGTAATGCTGCTCATTTTCTTCCATTAGGACGTCGACATGGTATTGGACAATTGACTTTTGCTGATGGCAGCATTTACATAGGACATTTTGAAAATGGTCTCTTCAATGGATATGGAGTACTCAATTTTGCAGATGGTTCCAGGTGAGTGCTGGATTGTGAGTTCAGTAGCACTGTGCTAGCTAGTTCAGAGAGAGGATCCACATGTATGATCTGAGTCCTTTTCAGAAAATAAGAAATATGTAGTACATATTGCCCATGGTATAATAAAGAATTTTATAGAATGACTGTGTTGCTTCTTTTTGCCTGCATGAGTTTTCTTTTAATACAAGTCTGCAACAAAAATATCCCATATTTCTTGTCATATACTTTTTCAGTGTAGATCTTTGGTAGGCTGTAGAATGGCCACTGAACGTTTTAAGATATTCCATTAATACTTCTATGGCCCTCTTCCTTTCATTTAGTATTGATGTTTTAAGAACTTTATTAAAGTGATTGCAAATGAGATAGCAGTGTCCAATCAGACACACTCTTGTTATTGTTGCAGATATGAAGGGGAGTTTGTGCAAGGAAAATTCAATGGTGTTGGAGTCTTCACACGCTATGACAACATGATCTTCGAGGGAGAATTCAAGGGTGGAAGGGTTGATGGTTTTGGTGAGTGATAAGGATACATCCTGTGGGTGTAACTAAGCAGCAAAGCTAATAATCTTGGATTAAATCTATTTTGGGAACTCTGCTGCAGCATGGAACAGGGCATAAGTGAGAGTTTGCTTAAAAATACCCTCCTCTGAGATACATGCAGATATATTGTATTTCACAGCACTGCATGCACAAATCAACTTTCCTACTGAACAATGATGTTCTATTTTCTCCCACAGGACTTTTGACTTTTCCTGATGGCTCTCATGGGATACCCCGTAATGAAGGCTTTTTTGAAAACAACAAACTCCTGCGACGGGAAAAGTGCCAGACAGTGGTCCAACGTGCACAGAGTGCCTCCAAGATGGCACACAGCTTGACAGCATAAGGGGTATATATTCTACCATAACACAGGGCTTTCTTATGACTGGCAGCCTAACCCAGAGGTTGGTAAGAGTGTGGAGTGCAAGATTCACAGAGGCAAATACCATCTCTAGGATGCAAACTATTATAATTGAACCCTGCTTGCCTTTATCATTTCCTTAAGCAGCTTGGCCCCTATAATGTGAACTGGTGCCAAAACTCAGCTATGAAACCTATGTCTCCTGCCAGTATCACATCCAAGATCATAGCAATTCCTTTGTCAGAAGCATTTTCCATTAGACAGATTGCTAATCCTATAACCCCACAATTGAGTTGGGCACAATGGGTATCCCAATTACTGGGGCTCGTTAATATACAATCCATCTTTCTTGCCACATACCTAACACAGCTGGAATGTTATCGTTATATGATCAGTTGAGTTGGTTTTCAGTGGTCAAAGGAGGATTAAAGAATTTGCATTTAGTTTAATTTTCTATCTTCTTATATGTCCCTAAAGCTCTAGTTGATTCCTCACTGCTCAGTCTTCCTTTCTTTATAAAAATTAAATGAATAAAATATAAATGAATAAGTAGAAAAAGCAAAAAGAATTAACATATTGAGTGGCATTAAGAATTCTAGACTTTCTGAATGTGACTTTTAACAATTTTGCAGATCAGCCTAAGAAGAATGTCTGAGTTCTGCTACACTTTATGCTTTAGGCTCCAGAATAGATCCAGGATCTCTTTCCACTCTTTATTCTAGCCTTGTGTTTTACACAATTTGCTAAGGCCGTTTTCACTGTGAGCTTCTTGTGTGAGACAGCATTTCACAATTATTCCTTCCTTACATGAGATGCAGGTCACTTAACTAAGGGCCCTAGTAGGAAGAGATTCACTAAGCTCCAGAGATGTTACATGGTTTTCATCTACCATAGTGCCATATATATATATATACAGCTGTATCATTTTACAAATGTTAAAAAGGGAGTATCATTACTTTTTAAAGCCTTGCCTCTGCTAGTCATAGGACAAGGCAAAGGTTTGCAAATTTCTTCCTACTTCAAAACTGGAAGTTCTTTGCACACAAATACTCCTAGTCTCCACCCACACTTCCCTCTTTTGGCTTCTGAAATTTTACCACACATTCCATTAATATTTCAAGCCTGACTTTGCTGCCTTAATGGCTAGACATTTGCTTTAAACTAAAAATGAATCTCAGGATGCTGATCACTAGTCCAATATATTATCATAGAATAATGGCATGTATAGCCCTATATGTATCCAAAATAAGCAACAGCATCTTTTATACAGTGCTGTAAAGCTAAAGGAGACAGCTGTTCCCAGATAATGCCATACTGTATATCTTTATAGAACAGTGTTTCTCTACCTTGGCAACTTTACAATGTGTGGACTTCAACTCCCAAAAGTCGTCAGAAAGGTGCCAAGGTTGAGAAACACCATTGTAGAAAATGCATTAAGTAACATTGGAACCTAGCACAACAGCTTATAACTTATAAATGTGGAGATTGCAGGGCATTCTTAATATATAGTACAAATAGATGGGCAATGATATGGAAGGGATAACTGGTTCCTTGCTAGAGATGCAGGCTGAATGAAAATACCAGGCTGGCGGAATAGAAGCTAAATTTTCTAGAGATGATAGCAAATCCCTCAGTGGGGTAACAATTTAGTTAAAATGGGTCAATAAAGAGTAACTATATCTGTTAACTCTTTTTATGTTTCTGTGCACTAAAATTAAACATGGGATTGTTTAAAATTGGGGGGTGTTCTTAGTCAAGCATTGACCCACGTAATGTGTGTTCCTAAGTGCCATGCTGGAGCCCTTGTAACCAGCCTATCTCCACACTGAATGTCTGTGTGTCAATGCTACCCTTGTGCCTTTGTGTCTTTGCCCATCTAAGGGCCTTGGCCAAATAAAGAGTTGCTGAAGCTCGACTTTGGTGTATTATTTTCCTCTGGTATCGAGGCAGGTGGATTAGCCTTATTCAATTATGCAGATTCAGAATGGATCTTCTGTTTATTCTAGTCTAATATGCAGTAGTGCCAAGCATCTGAATTTTGATCACATGACTATGGGGATGCTGCAATGGTAGTAAGTGTGAAAAATGTTCATAAATCACTTTTTTCAGTGCTGTTGTAACTTTGAACAGTCTGTTGTAAATTGAGAATTACCTGTATGTAGGTTTTGAATTTTTTCTTTAAATCAATGTATTTTGTTACATACAGTAAACTATATTTTATTCATTTGTTTAATTGGGTTCTCTTTATCTAGTTTTAGAACGTTTAGCAAACTAGTCACATTTTAGATCATATGGAAAATGTAAAAGGGTTCACAAATTTTTCAGTACTACTGTACAGACCCCACTCACTCGTTCCATCATTCCCTCATTCAGTCCTTGAGAGATTCAATGGGAACTAATCTGAAAAGCTTCCCCATCACTGCAATGAGAATGGTGCATTATAGGGCAATAACCTTTGAATCAAGATACCTCAGATCAGCTAACTTATGGAATATGTACAAAATCTGGGATCCATGACTCTCATAGGATTGAAATTTGGGGGTGTTGTGGCAACTGATGCAGTCATGTGGTCATTAATACTCCCTGCCAGCTTCCTACAAAAAAACCCAATAAAGTTGCTCCTGCTCCCAGTGCTTTTTTCCTCCTGCGGTCATTCAGTTCAGTTTAATAAGAAATATATCTGAAATGTTGACCCAATGGGTTATGGATTGTCTAGTTATCTTAAAAGGTGTTCTTCCAACACTTTTAATAGACTCTGAATATATGAATTTGCTTTAAATGGTAGATTCAAACAATACTTAGCTGTTCTGACCCCCCTCCCTGTGAATAAACCAGAACACAGGCTTGGCTGTTTGCCACTGGTCAATTACTGAGATAACGAATCCTTTGGCTGAGGGCCCAGGCAACTCACGTTCAATAGAGTAGCTCTGCAGCAACCCAGATAGTTCAAACGAAGCAACGCAGATAGGCCAAACGAAAAGGCATGTCTAGAATACACAGATTTTCTTAACTACTAATTCGAACGGTTGTTTCCTGCAAATCTCCCCTCCCAACACCTCACCTATAATCTCTCTTGGGAGGGGCCAATCAACAACCACCTTCTGCTTAGTCTGCCTACGGAGTTGCTGCTTCTGTTTCTCAGCCCTTCTCAATCTAGCATCAGGGACAAAACTGCCTTTGATCCTCCCCACTGCTCCATGCTTCAGGTGCCTCCTGGTGGCCAACTAGCCTCTCTGGTCCCTGCTCTGAGTCTGAACCCTGCCTAGGGTCCTCCACATCGTCCAGGGCAGACTCATATGGTTCCTCGCTATCCAAGTCCATCAGCCACTCAACTGGATCCTGCTGGGCCACAACACTTAGCCAAGACGCCATTTTGTTTGCTTGTGACTGAGCAATTGTATGAATTCAGCTGCTGTAATTTATCCAACAATTAAGATTAAATCATAGCTTAGCAGAATGCGTTGAATGCAGACAATGAGTTTTAGATAATTATAAGCTACTCCAATATTTTCTGATGTTATTTTATTATATTCCTTTCCATTTTTCCTTTGCTCCTTTGACCTACAACTGTCAAAATTGCCCCCTTGAGCAATCTTCATCTGATGCCGGTCTTTGTATTTGCAACTGCCTACCATGCTGGCAAAATGTTAAGTCCTTTACTTTTTTCATATCTATGTTTTTTTAAAGAAAATTTTGACACAATTAGTTAGCTTCCATTAATGGTTCAACTAAACTTAAGTACTTGTAAAGAAACAATGCATTTTCTAATTTACAACTTCAATTTCCCCCAACTTTTTCCACTTAAAGAAAAGATTTTCCATAACAATTTTGTTTCCATGCCTACTGCTGGAATTGTATAAAATACTATATGAAATAGCTTGATTAAATCTGATGCTCCAGTCTCACTGACCTCCAGCCATACAGTTATTGGGGTTGGGGCTGTGACTATATAGGTACAATTATCTACTTCTAGTCATTTTGGATCTGGGTGTACCGCAAGAAGTTGTACCATCAATTAGCCTTAGTGCATTTATGCTTTAGCTAAAAATATAGTCATCAGCAAAACTATTGAATGGTTCTCCATTTCTTTTTCCAAATATAACATACCATTCTTAGACAGCAGAAAAAGGACAATAACAGAAGCATAATTATCTTGAAGAATGTATTTTTATGCCACTTCTGCCCTTGAGGACTGTGAGCAAGACTCAAGACCTAAGTAGCAGTGTTTTATGAAATAATTAAAAAAAACACTTAAATTGTGCTGATCTAGCTTCAGTGAATACCATAAATATATACTATAGATAACAGGTTAGTGATAGATTGTAATGGAGAAAATCTGTGTAGTCACTAAAAGTCAAAAATGACTTCATGGCACATAATCATTCACTAATTACATATTCTTATACCATCTCAATAATGTTCAATTTTTCAGTGGATCATACAACTATTCAACAAACTCAATTTACTGTGCATAAGGTAGCAGTGCAAATGGTATTTTGACCTAGTAAATCATAAAAATGAATGAAATATCTTTTACATAGGACATTAAGATTACACACATCTGATTTCTGAACCCAGAGAATTAGCCTTTCACCATTCTATGATTCCAGAACTAATCAGGGTATAGGAGAATGCTGAAAAGATTAGAACATAGATACGACCATATCCTAGACATAGGTGTGTTATGTAGAATTGAGAAATTTTAAGTGGCAAAGGAATGTTGGGCTTCTAATCAACCATGAGATGCAGATACAGCATTTTCTCATCTAAAGCTCCATTCTGAAGATTTTACTCCATTGTTTTGTTGCCATAGCAATGCTCCAATAAGTACACTATGTGTTGAGTGAGCTGCATGCATTTAAGTAAATTGCAAGACATGTGAGCCTTTCCCAATTACAGTAATTGGCTGCAGCAAGATTCCAGGCATTGCTAGAACTCCTTTGTCCTTCAGAGCCAGCCATTGGAGGTGAAATCATGGCGTAATTCCATTAATTGTATCTCAGTTAATGGGAGCAAAGGGGCACGGCAAAAGCCTCCTTTGTAGCCAAACCACTCCATCGCCTGCTTGAGACCCGGGACCCCGAATTTCCGGGTGACCTGTTGGAACACAAACGATATAAAATTCTAAAAGCTACTATCAGACTAATATTACAGAATAATTGTTTACAAATTTCTTTTCATGCAAACATGCAAGCACTCTGATAACAGAAAGTGGCACAGATTGAAGACTTGTACTATCTAAGGATTGGTATCGTAATGATAGACAATTATTTCTCTGCAATTTTTCCGAAACCTAAGTAAGGAATTCAGGTCTGCATCATTTCAGCATTTTGAGACTCCTTGAAACAATGTACATTATTATTTTGGGGGGAAATTGTTATTTTTTACTTAGATAACATAAGATCTGGAGTTAGTATAAATCTACTACTAATTCAGGTCAATGGTTTACATTTACACTTTACTTTAACTGACAGATGCAAGGTTTATTCCCAATATTTCTGTCAAATATCTTTTAACAAGAGATGCCACAAAGAGATGCCACAACAGAAAGACTTGGAAAATTAATAAAGGTTAATTAAAATTAAAATAGCCAGGTTATTTTTTAAAAAATAATAATTGTGCCTAAAATTAATCTGAAAGTAGTATTTCAAAATTCATAACTGTAAAAAAAATTTTTGGGGGGAGAGACACATCTTGGAAACACACCATGTGAATGAAACACAGGTTTTTCAAATGTTGTTATCTCTCTCTCGAAATGTATGGGTTTTTTCTTTTAAGCAAATAGAAATTTTAAATGTGGTAAGTTCAAACTATTGGAATGAAAGGAGAAGATCAGTAGCAGAACTGTTGTATTTATCAGTATGGGGCACACAGCCTCCAGGTCAAAGAAGTTTGTTTTGACAAGTGGATAGGATTGGACATTAGGCTGATTCCTGGCTGTGGGAATGCCACAAAAATATTGGATTCTAAAAATTATTCTAACCTTCTTTCCCAAAACTTGCTAAAAAGGATAGTCCCACTTCAGAATGTTTAAGTTCCCCCAGATTTAAGGGTTCTTACTGCAATGTTTGGCTCAATCAATCGGTGCTGCAGTTCACGGGCTTCATCCCAGTTTCCACCCCGGCAAAGATCATCAAGCTGACAGACAGGACTACCTAATACATTGGCAAGGGCACAGACTCCTCCTGTAGCACCTACAGTAGAGCTCAGAGTCAACAGAAATAACTTATAAACTATTCACCTTCCCATCTATACTTCATCCATCCCCAAAAGCTTTTTTTCCCCATTATTGTAGATTAGAGCATGCTAGCTTAATAATGCTTCTTGGCAGTCATGTACATTATAATACAACCATATTTTAGTAGGTATTTTTAAAAATATTACAATAGCTGCTTTCCTATTCTGCATTGCTTCCCCATATCCTGAAACATTTATCCTACAACCTACCTACAATATAGCTGGCTAGCAAAAAACCAGCTGATCCTGCCAGTACCTGGAAGTCTTCATTCTGTGTTTTGTGAACAAGCAGCCCCAGGCGTGTAATCTGGTAAAAGATAAGGTTGGTTTCATAGCAGGAGATAGCACTCATCACTGAAATGCCAAAAGGTGTCATTAGCAAAAACACAGGATGCTCATGGTGATACTGCACTCATAAGTACACATGCCAAGGAAGTCATAAATACAAGGAACCTTAATAAACATTTTAAAATTGTCAGTTCATGTCGCTTGATTTTGCTAAAGCAACCTTTTCCAATATGGATCTCTCCAGATGGTTTATCCTAAAAATCCCAGCAGCACCAGTCTGCATATCTAAAATGGTAATGGGAATTAGAATCAAAACACCTGGAGAAGGCCAGTCTAAAGTTTGTTATCTTTTTAAAGTTTCGTATTTTTCCACTTTGTTTTACAAAGGTCTTGATATTTAACAGACAGCTAAGGACTACACAGTCTCAAGCATCATGCATCTAGACAGGTCTGTTGGAAAAAGGTAATACAATTTTAGATTACAGAAGCTTGTTAGCAAAATTTCCCCTATGTTTAGAATGATGTTTGGAAAATGAAAATTTAAATGCTTCTATACAGCTGTGCTTGAAAAGAAATAGATGTTTTCCTAGGGTAGACCAGAACATACATAGTTGGGATTTCATCCTATACTGGTTCTTCAGAAATAATTATAATTACCACAGAAATATTAGCTTTTTTATCTTTCACATGTATATTACATCCTATTCTTCAATATACTCAGCCTAGGAATTACCATGTTTATTCTTACCCATAAGTAAAATAAACTTTGTCTGTTATCACCCAGTGAGCTTTTGGGTGAAAACAGAGATCTGAACTTGAATTGTCAATCTAGATATGGGATAGTGCCCTCTATAAAACAGTAATGTGAACTTTAATAAAGTACCTGTTAGTTTAATGTTCAAGTGATAATGAAATATATGGGAAACTGCCATCTGGCTGTGCTAAAATGTTTTTAAAGTATTTTCTTCAACAGCTTAAACATTAATTTTTCATAGGAAGAAAGAACAATTCACAGATCTCCAGGTCTCTTAAGAGAAAATGTGTGCAACAGCTTTCATTCCTTAACATCCAAAAATACCCAACATATAGAATCTCATATCACCAAGAAGGAATAAGAATCCCCTTAGGGGATCACATTAGTGCAGCACCTGGTTGTCATATTTCACTCACGTTGCCATCACTGTCCTTGATCCCCACTATGTTAGGATGTTGCGCGAGGCTGACCACTGCCTCATTGGGCAGTTCCAAACCTGTGTTGGCTGGAACACTGTACAGTATCACAGGAATTGGAGATGCATCAGCCACCTGGGAATATAAAGTAGTAAAGCATGTGGGCCCATTGGGAAACAATCTATCAGTGAACTACAAACTGCTCTTTCAATATCAATCTTCAGCAAGGTCCTCTCGCCTACATCCAGGCAATACAAGGCAATCTCCAATTATTGCAGAGCCAGGATAATGGATAGGCGCCATATTCTTTCTTTTCAAAGAGAAGGTTACACTTTGGTTGCTATGCTAAGGGCTGTATTAAAATAGTTGGCATGGCCAAAATAAAAGCTACATTGAATTTAATTGACTAAATATAATTAAATTAACTACGGTAATTAATAGTATTTATCTCAACTGTCAAAATAAACACTACACTTTGATGCCAACTTCTGGAGGATATTTGAGGCTTTCAGAGGAACATTCATTCTTGGGGTCACAAATTATGTACCTCTGCTGCATGGATATTGCAATTTTATCTGTCTTGAATTTTACTCAGCTTGTTATTGCACTTTAGTATTTAGAATCTGGACAACTGAACTGTTACATCCATTTCCTGCTCAGTAGAATGTGGATCATCCGAACATAATATTTTAGTGAATTGTGATACATCCATTCTTTCATCACAGCACATTTCAGAATTGTGGTCCTTCTATGGCAATTAGCATGACTTCAAGAATCGCTTGTGATTCACCAATTGTTTAACTCAGCCTGTTCTAAACTGGCATCTTTCAAATATGTTGGAATTATAATTCCCAGGATTCCCAGCCAACATGGCCAAATCTTATATACAGCAATTCCAACAAATGTGGAGGACACAGATATAGAAAAGCTTTTTCAACTGCTTGTGACATCCTCAATGTCTTGAGAATGAATAATGAGAAGTTAATCTCAATTCTATAATGAAAATGCAAATTGCAAAAATTGCAAATTCCCATTATTCACTTTCTGTTCAACTCTCTGTTTTCAAATAAAAGAATTCAAGACAAAATACTTCTATCTGTAATCAGCCACTAAATAATTTAAGAAATTTCACCTGAATCAAGGACACTTTATTTAAAAAAAATAGCTGAATTTCTATTATGTTTGAATTCTAACAGCACTTTGAAGTTCAAACAACATGTAATAGATAAGGGCTATATAACCTTTCCATCACTGTTCCTAGCATCATCTTACCACATCTTCAAAAACTTTCTTTACTATCAATCATCTGATCTGGTTTATACATAATACTAAGCCATAATGTCAGCTTTACTTTTTTGGCTTATGGTGTAATGTGATACCTTTGAGACCTCTTTAGTCATCTCTAATAAATATAAATCAGAGATTATCCTGACACTTTTCTTTACCTGGGTGTAATGGTGGATCAAGGCAGCACTGGTCATACTTCCACGGAAGTAGCAAGGAGTCACCACAAGAGCAGCATCAGCACCCTTGTCAGCCATTTGTTTTGTTTTCTCAATGGTGCAGTGAGTTGCTAAGAGAAGAAATATAAGTGACTTAAAGGACAGCTCTTGGGATCCTACGTAGGAGCTTCTTGAGGGTCAAATAAGATACCAGACATAGAATCCTTATATAAGGTATGGTCAGCTAGAGGCCCACTCCTCTAGTCTACCTTTTTATTGCTCACATTCACATCCTGACCCAACCAGAAGAAGCTTTTCCTTAGGCACAGCTTGGTGCACCCGCATCACTACTTCCAGGCATTCCTCCTGTGTCAAGTAGGGAGCTTCCCCATTGGAACCATGTACTACAAAACCTAGAAAAATAAGAAGATAACATTGAGTAGCTATTTATTTTTTCCATCAAGCAAAATATCCTACAGATACAAGGGTTTTACTTTAAGTATACTAGATTGTGCAGAAATTGATAGATTGACATTGAAAATTAAACAGAAAGAGGATGTAGAATATTATCAAACGTGGAATTTATTTTACCAATGGTTGGGAAAAAGGGATGGAGATTAAAAATGTAATTTGTATTGTTAAGCAAATTAAATGCCCAGACAACACGATGTTTATTAAGCACTAAGAAATGTATTTAATAGAAAAGCAATTAAAATAAAAAAAGAAGTACATAAACTGTTATTGATATAATCTGCTAGTTAATGTTAGTAGAGCATTACTCAGGGATAGGAAAAATCTGCTATCCATTGCATGTCCCTCCATTTTCCATTTACAGCAGACTAGGTCCAAAGTCTGGGTGGGCAACTATGCGTGTCCTTGAAAAGAAAATAATTTAGCTGTGCTTCTCCTTCCTATACTTTTGAAAGTACTAATAAAGACAGAAGGGTTGGTTTCTTTTTTCCCCTAATCTTTCTTAAACTAACAACACTAGAAAAAATGGGGCAAAAGGAGAAGGGTAAGGAAGAGATGGTTAGATAATGTCATCAATAAAATGAACATGAATTTGGATAAACTCCTGGAAGCAGTGGGAGGCAGTAGAACCCTGGTGTGCATGCTGTTGCAAAGAGTTAGACACAACTTAGCAACTGAACAACAACAACAAATTCTGGATAATATTCATTCATATGCCTTCCTGCTACAATTTACCGGTGGCACTTTCTCCACAGTGAAACATGTTGGTTTCTTGCCCCAAACTGAACATTTTGCATGCCAGAAAGGTGCTTTTAACAGAAGTCTGTCCAGATGGCCCAAGTTCACCATTTATGAACAAGTTAATATACCATGTTTTACTTAACTATAATTTACTGAATAAACTGTAACTAGTTGGGCTCATAACCACAATGTCTGGGATCACACAACCTGTTATATACAGTGACCCAGAGGCTTAATGTGCTAATAACTTTGTTCATAGACACACCATTAGCTGTAAAAAAGAAAAGAAAAGAAAAGAAGCAAGGTGTTTGGTGGCTTTTAGACGGGGAAAAGCAAGCATACTGGAAACACTACGATTTTCCTCCTCTTTCCGCAGGGTTCATAGGACGCATTGCCACAAAAGCTAGATAAGTAACAAATTCAACAGAACTTGGCCAAGTAAAGTAAGGCAGAGTGGCACCCAAGCCAGGATCGCCCCACGTGGCTCTCGCCTCCCTCCCGACAGACACCTTACCCAAAAAGGACCCCACGTGTCCTTCTCCCCTCAAGACTCTCAACCCTACCTCGGAAGGGGATTTCGGCGTAGAGGCGCAGATTCTCCTGCAACCGGGCGTAATCTACACGGCCTTGAGACGTGAAAGGGGTGACGAGGGGCGGATAGATACCCCGCAGGTCTAGGCGGCGGGCAGGTGCCGCTGCAGCCAAGAACCTTCGGAGCACACCTCCTGCAGCCACCTTGCCCGCGCAAGGGGTCCGCGGCCAGAAGGGGTACAGAAAGCGCGGGGTTAGGGTCGCCCTGGCCATCCCGCTGTTGACCGATACGAATGCTGTGCCGCCCCGGGTCACCGGATCCCTTGAAGAAGGCGGGGGGAAAGTCCCCCGAGACCGCCCGCGGGGCGGGAAGTCGGACCACACCAGCTCCGACACGGTTGGCTGAACTCCCTTTAGGAGACCTGAAAGCAAAAAAGCAAGCGCTGCTTTCCCTTCCCTTCGTTTCTTTTACAACTTTCAGGCTGGGACTATACGGAAGTAGGCCAAACTCCCTTCGAGTCTAGGTTTTCCTTATCTATTTATGAGTTTGTAAACCGCTTCACTCGGTGCTATTCTAAGCAGTGTACAAAAGGCTTGACTTCGCTACAATCCATGAACAAGCAGGAGGAAGAGGGGAAAGCCAGAGGTTAGGGTGAAAAAACAAGAAAGAGCCTTTCATGACACACCGCCAGCATAAAAGACCTTGGCAGGCAAAAAGACATTGCGCTATATAAGTCATAATATGGTTTATTTGATTCTTAGACAAATGTGGCTTATTCAATAATCCACAGGTAAGCAAAGAGGTTGCTGAGCAAATGGGTCTATTTGCTTTGATATAAATTAGGCTTTTATGGCCTTTTTTCACCACAAAGTAGAAACATCTGCCTATCCCTTGAGCTTGTTTATAGCTGTTCCAGTCTGATACTACCTATAAGTTCATTAATAAAACAGCACTGGCATCTGTTGGCTGTTTCAGATCAATTTAGTCATTCAAATTCCCCACTAGCCACCCACCCTACTACACTCTACAGTGACAAACCCTAACATTTTATAAATTTTGAGGTTGCTCTTGGGGATTACAGGTTTTTCCCCATTTTTCACTTAAACCATGACACAAATATGTCCTGCCAACATTTTTGGGGGGCATTTAAAGCTCTTAAGAGACACGCTTAAGTGTCTTAGCTGTACCAGTACTTCCCCTCCTTATCATGACACCATCCAAGTTCAGGCAATGCAATTATCCATAGAAAAACTGCATCAGAGTGCTGCTGACTAGAAAGGGAGAGTGGCAACACGTCAGTGTTTTCATTCTCTTTGTTCAGTTTAATGTATCTTGTTCACATCCTTTTCTGCTGAAGGGTGTTAGTGCTTTTAATGGGCACAAAATAGTGACAGTGTTATTTTGCGTGCTGAAAAACAGATCTGATCTCCATTTGTTAAGCCAATTTGGCCTTGGCTGCCCTGCAATATTGGAAAGGACATTTCTGGCAAAGAAGTAAAGGTTGACCTATGTCCTCAAGTGAATTGTTCTTAAGTGAATATGCAACTTGGAAAGCAAGGCCAGCAGACAAGCGCATGGCAACCATCCAACTCCTGCTTAGGTTCACACTCTAGAAAGAATGTAATAGGTTCTCCAGGTTGCCAGACTTTGCAGGACTGTGTGGATGTATGCATAGACACCCTCTGCTGCAGTGTTTCTCAACCTTGGCAACTTGAAGATGTCTGGACTTCAACTCCCAGAATTCCCCAGCCAGCATTTGCTGGCTGGGGAATTCTGGGAGT